GCACATGACAAAAATCTGAAAAATGGTTGTTAGCCTGTGTTGCTATCACATAAATTATTCGCCGCGGTTTTTTGTTCGGATTTCGTGTATAATAAAACATTTGGTTATCTAAGATCATCAACACTTTTTTGTTCCGTTTTCATAAAAAAGTTGTAAATAGATAACAACTCTAGTAAGAAACTAAAGTTTTTATTTTTATTTTTATTTTATCTATAAAAACTAACACATCTGGTGCAAAAACTATTTTTTTTTTTTTTTTTTCATTTGATATAAGTTTATAACTATTTAATTTATATTTATATTTTTTTTAATAGTTCCGTATACATTATTATATAAATGGTTGATTATCTTTCACCAGAAATCAATGATTCAAGATGCAGTAGTGACAAAGGTAATCTGATTTTCCAATTTAATTTGCTTTCATTTTGTTTTTTATATGTCATTCTTGTCTATGTTAGGTTTGTATGGAATGATCTTATCTATGTTAGATATAATGTGACACATACATACAGTCATTCTTATCCTATTTACTCTTATTTTGTACTCTGAATCTCATAAGTATCACTCTTTTTGTGAGTAGTGTACAAAATATCTACATTCATACTGTACTCCTAAACATCAGATAAATAACATTCTTTCATTATCTGTTTATTGTATCACAACATTCATATAACACTTCTTTTCGTGACAGTAGATATTATTATTGGAATCGAGTTGCAGTGGATAAAGAGGAGTGTACTATCTATACACAACGTGTATGATCATTTGAGTGTATGGAGCAGCAAAAGGTATTAATCTATATATATCACCAAAATATTTTACTGATTTTTCTCAAGGCATCATTTCCATCTTGTGTGCTTTCTTGTCTGCTGGTTTTGCTTGTCAATTTGTTATATCCTGTTAACCCTGACTTGCGATGTATGACGTTTGGGTTGTTGTATGCTTTTTGAGTGGTAGTAGAGATTGGTAGAGAAAGTTCTTTTAAACATTGTTTTGTTTATGTCTTTTGATGTCTTGAAAATGACAAATGAATATTGTGATTGAGGTTTATATAGTTTTATTTTTTTTTTTTTTTTTTTCTATGTACAGAATGTATCATAAATACCAGATCAACTTTTATTGGTTAAAATTTCATTATTTTGATTTCATGGATAAAACGGTTATAATATTGAAAACAATATTTAAGCTGATTGTAATGTATAAAATAGGGATATTTAGTATTTAATTTTTATTAGAGTTATGACATGAGACAAAAATATAGGATATTGACCGTCCACATTTAATATTTAATATTTATTAGAGTTATGAGATTTGCAAAAAATATGGGATACTTAAAATTTAATTTTTATTAGAGTTATAAGATGAGAAAATAAATGTGGGATATTGATGATTGGAATTTGTCTAAATAATATCAAAGCATTTTTTATATTTCGGAATCCCGCATCTTTTTGGATTCCTGCCTCCTATTTTGAGATTTCGATCTCAATTTTTGGAATTGTAATTTGATAATTATAATTAATGAATTTAGTTGATCTTTAATTTATTTATTTTTTTTGCAGGAATTGTCGGGAGAAGGAGTTTCTGATTTTTTTAAAAATTTTAATCTATTTTTTTTGGTTGGTTGTTTTTTTTTTTGATATGTAAATTTTTTTTTTCATTAGTTTCTTTTAATTTACTATGCATATAAAAAATAATTGCAATTAAGAAAATAATTAATGATATTTGTTGAGACTAATTAATATATTTAAAAAAAATCTGGGAATATTTTCATTAACTTGTTATGAATGCAGAATTAATTTGTTGTCATTTTTAAAACAGTCAACTCTTCTTCCCAAATTGAATAGTTTTTAATAAAGAAAATAAAGAACGAAAAATAAATGAATAGTAACAGAAATTGGCGGGAAAATGCCACCTAGGTATAATTTATGAGGTTTTCTTAAACGTTCATTAGCTAGTAATTATATATATAGATTATACTCTTAATGATGGTATAATTTTGACTATTTTAGCCATGAGATTATCCGATCTAATGAGCAAGATGTATTCTTATTTTCTTATAACATTTAGAATTTTGAAATACTTCTTAAGAGATTCTGATGTATTTAGATTATTAAAAAAAATAAATTAAAAATATTAAGGTACTTTTTAAATTAAGATTCTAAAGATATTAAATAAAGTGAGATATTTAAACCAAAAAATTGAAACTCAAATTTATTGGGTTTTTAAATCTCATTCAAAATTCAAACATAAATTTCATGAACGCCTAATCAAATTCTACCTTTAAACTTTAATATTTATAAGAATTTCACTCATATTAAAGAAAAAAGTTTGTTTTTTAACCTCCCAAAGTATGACCAATTTTATAGTTTGTCTTACAAACTTTTTGCCCGACACTTTGCCTCCCATAGTTATCGAAACTGACAATTTACCTCATATATTAAAAAATCTAATATGTCACAAAAAAGTTTAATTCAATTAACAATAAATTTTAAATTAATCTTTAAAGTTAATTAGGCTTTTGAAGGTCATGATGAGACGAACAAAATGAGGTACGGTATGTCGATTTCTGAAAATTGAACCTCAATAATTGATCGACAAAGAAAGCAGATGGACGTGTGTATAATAAAAAACTTCAGTTCAACTTTTCTGATAATCAAGATATCCGATTTATTGGAGGTGTCATTTGAAAACTTGCAGAACTAATTTTCTAACAAATAAATCTAATGAAAATCCAACGACTGAATTTTGATAAGTAGTTAGAAGACCACCGATCAATAATTAGTTTTTTGAGGCTGTTAACCAAAATCCGACCGTTGAATTTCCATAAGATTTACTTCGTTAGAAACTCGTTCTTCAAGCTTTCAAGTAACACATTCTAAACGAAAATTGGGTATCTTGATTATTAGAAAATTGAATTGGAATTTTTTTCTATACACACTTGCTCCTACTTTCTTCTTCTACAAATTACAAAGGTATCAATTTCAGAAAGCGTAAACCACACCTATTTTGTTCTTCTAACTATCGGCTTTAAAAGTCCTAAATCAATTCTAAAAATCAATTCAAAATTTATCGTTAATTGAGTTGTAATTTTTTTTTTGGTCATATTAAGCTTAATAGAGAAGACAAATTTTAAATTTTGTCGGGCCAACTCTAAAATCCATGGAACTCTAAAATCGGTGATTAAAAAAAATTGTAAAAAGCCTTAATTTGAGAAATATGCCTTTGTTTTGATACATACCGAGTTACCGACTGGACACCTCTTTCACCTCTTCCGAGCTACACTTGAAATCATTTTTCTTCTTGAACATCGATCAACTCCTGCCATATCTGATTCACACGCACCTAATTTCCATTTCAACCTCAAAAGCCCAACGAGAGTCTACAAAAAAATCAGAAGCCAGAAAATGGCAAAACCCTCGCAATCCAGATACATTTTCACGTTTTTTCATCACATTGTATCAGAAGCCCCAGGAGCCAGTAATGGAATTTCCCAAATCATCGGAAAAAACCCTAAATCAATCAACACCCGCACATCTTCCTCATGGCTATTAAATCCCCAAAGATCCCATTTTTCGTCGTCAGCCAGCACTCCAGGTATTCGCCGAAATTCCGACATACAAGCCAAATTTTCGCCGGCCGGAAACTTGTTGACGCGCAGGTACGTTTCCTTCACGAATCCCAAGATGGGTTCCGGCAATCTTGTGAAGAAGATGGTGAAAAACCCTGCTTTGTTCTTTAAGGGTGGGTTGGGGAGGTATAGGGAGGCATTGAGGCTGCAAATCGAGGCCTTCTTGAGGAGGAATTATCTGGCGGTGGCCGGTGCAGGCGGGCTTGCAGTGTGCGTTGTGCTTTGGCGGGTGCTATTTGGGGTGGCAGATGTTATTGTTGGTTTCTCAGAGGGCATGGCTGAGTTTGGATTTCTGGCGCTGTCATCTGCCGTGGTCGTGTTTAGCGTGAGTACTGTTTTGTGCTGGCTGTAGCTGCTGTTTTATAATTGTGCTTGAACTCATTTCTGTGATTTTCTTTTGTGGGATTGTAAGGATGTCTGAACTAGCTAGTGAGTTGTAGTACAGAATGATCGTTGTTTGCTGGTTGTAGCTGCTGCTTTATAATTGTGCTTGAACTCATTTTTTTGCTTTTATTTTTGGTGGGATTTTAAGCATGTCTAAACTAGCTACTGAGTTTTGAGTACAGAGTGAGACTAGACTGTGTGTATTGTTCAGTGGCAGAAACAACACTGTTTTTAACCTTATAAAAAGTATTCGGACCATGTGATTATCTCTTTTGCTGTGTGGATTTATTCCAAGTTCGATGGATTTAAGTGCTTCAACTCAGATTTATGTACCTGAGCCCAGAGTGTAGGGTGCTATTTTCAGTCTCTGCTGGTTTTGTTCCTAATGTTTCAGGGGTCTATTTTGTAGAGACGAAGAAAAATGATGATGAAGTTCAACTATAGTATTGTATAGTGTGGAATTAGCCAATTTTATCATTACATTCATAATTTTTAAGTCGTATCATGAAGTAGTGGGGACCGGAAACGAAGGTATAAAAATTAAAAATCTGCATGCATGTTATTCCGGTTAACTTGATGAACGGGTGGAATTATCAAGTGATATGACATGATTTTCTTCATCCGTTCATATTATCATTTATCTTTTTTTCTTCCTCTCATTTTCTTTTTTACTTTTTTGTATCCAAGTGATGACCTTCTATAATTACAATTCGTTCCTTTTCATTTTCTTGCGCAAAGGGCTTGTACCTTCATTCGAGATTCAACATCAATCCGGATAAAGTTTACAGAATAGCCATGAGGAGGCTAAATACCTCTGCTGGAATTCTTGAGGCCATGGGTGCACCACTCAGAGGTACGGATGTGAGAGCATACGTGATGTCTGGTGGGGGCATTACACTGAAGAATTTCAGTCCGAGGCTAAGAAGCAAAAGGTGCTTTCTAATTTTCCCAATACAAGGCTCGGAGAGAAAGGGACTAGTCAGTGTTGAAGTCAGGAAGAAGAAAGGACAGGTTTTCCTTCTGTCCAAGCCTGATCCTTTTTTTTTTCTCTCTCTTTTTTTTTTTTTTTTTTCCGTTCCTCGGAATTTTTTATTTTTAATTATCGAGCTAGTACACACACGTGTATGCACTGCATTTGTTCTTGCTCATTATCAATACACATGTCTTCGTGACGCTTTCATGCAAAGATTTTGCAGTCACGTGCTTCACATGCTTTTGTCAATTTCGTGCAGTATGATATGAAGCTACTGGCGGTGGATGTTCAGGTGGCGGGTGGACCCGATCAACGACTGTTCTTGACGGGAGATGAGGAAGAATACAAGATCGGTGATGGGCTCATATCAGAACTGCGGGACCCGGTTGTCAAGGCAATGAGTGCTGCTAAAGAGCTTGAGGCACATGACTTAAAGGAGGACGAGGAGGATGAACAAAGGGAAATCCAAGAAGCTGAAATAAGAAAATCGACAGGAAAATGAAAAGCTAAAAAATAACCACTATCAGTAACCAGCACGGTTTTTCTTCGCTTTATTTTTCTCCTGACCTCAAAATATTGTGCTCTGTATTAGCTAGCTTCTTGAGGTAATAACACTAAACATTTTTTTTTTCTTGTTTTTTTTTCTCTAAGTCTTTTTTCTAATGATACCAGTGAGTGTATGACCGTGACTAGCGATAGTCCCAGCATTGTGTAGACACCTTGTGTTGTCTATATTACTGCAAATTAGAGATTTGTTTTTGCATTTATGTTATGTAACTTACTATTATGTGAAGAAACAGTAATAGCTGGGCAGGTCTTTCATGCCCTGTGAAAAAAAAGAAAAATGGTATAATGCACACAATAAAATGCCATATTTATTTTTATGTTGTTTCTAAAGTATACTGTTTGTATTCTCATCTCAAAATTTCTGAAGAAATTCTGTTTCTGTCTTTGAACATCTTCTTGCGTGCGTTATCTTACTTGGACGATTTATTTCTAGACAATTTCGGTTTTTTGATATAGAATACGCGCATGAAAGAAAATGGCCGTTTTTCGATTTATCTACAATGTTAAAAAGATATGTCGGATTATAGTTTCAGTTTTTTGTTTCTCTAATGTTCCCAGTTTATTTGGCTGCTAAATCCTTCATCATTTTAACTCTGTATTTTTTGAAAAGATGTTGAACTTTAATGTTTGTGACGGGCTTTGCTCAATGGGAATCTAAGTCTTTAAGATTATTTTTTAACAAGGTTTAGGCTTATTGTTCTATAATATTTGAGTAAAAATATTCTCTCTATATAAAATTCTTCAGTTTTTGGTTTTAACATCGACTTTTTAAATTGACGAGGTACAAACCGGTTTTACTATGAAGCCAACTACTTTCTATATACAACAAATATACCTACCATATTAATAAAATTATATTAATGTTATTTAAGTAATCAGAGAATATGGTAGATTTACTTGTTGTGAATAGAAGATTGGTTCCACTACGGAGCCAATTGTTGGCTTCATAGCAAAATCGAAGTACAAACATATCAATTTTTTGAAATGTTAAGAAAGTCTAAATTATTTAAGTAGTGGGCCTTATTAGTCTTCCAAAAATGGTCCATTATGGTCTTCTTGGACTTGACAAGCCAAGCCATGAAGCCATAGCCTATCTTTTAATATCCATTGGTTCATATTGCTCCCTAAACTTTAAAGCAATGTACTAGTAACTAGTGGATTTAATCTATTTTGTAAGACCGATTTTCAAACCGATTTATGAATCACGTGCCAACAAAATTTGGATCATTGACTTTAGTAGTACTATAATTAGTAGGGCTGGACATGGTTCGGATACTCGAGTTTTTTAATGTATTTGCTAATCGAACTGAATCGAGCAAATATTCGAACTTGCTAACCGAAACCGAACCGAAAATCTCGGTTAACCGAAAAAAATCCTACTATTTGTGAATTAACAGAATCGAACCGAACCGAGCAAACCTAACACAGATTTGTGTTAGGTTTGTGTTAGATTTGCTCGGTTCGGTTCGGTTAATTCGCGAATAGTCATACCAACAGGTTAGTTTAATATATATAAATATAATATATAATATATATTTTATAAATTTTAATATAATATACGATTCGATTCGGTTCGGTTAATCGAGGTAAAAAAAATCCTAAAAACTGTAACCGAACCGAACCGAACAAATACTTCCTTTGAGGTATTTGTAACCAGACTGAGTACCCCGGTTAACCGAAAAAAAAATCAGTTCGATTTTGATTCGGATCTACGATTCAGCGGTTCGGTTCGAATTTTTTGCCGAGTCCTAATAATTAGAAACTTAATGATTTGTCATGTGTATATATTTTTTTAAAAAAACTCAATGTATGTAAATCATTTGTTGCATGATTCATAATATGTTCATGAATTTATTGAACAATTTTTTGTACTTAATTGACAAATAGTTGAAATTTATTTAAAATTGTCACAAATTAAAAGGTATTGATTAAACTACAATTTGGTATTAAAAAAAAAAAAAAACTCAATATATATATATATATATAGTATATATTTATTATTATTATTATTATTTTTTTCCAAATTAGTTATCCAAGTTCCAACTGGAAGATAAGGTCGCATTAAATTTTGGAAACCGATACCCAATGTAAGGGGAACCAACTTCAGAAGCTCACGTCATGGCCAACGTCACGCTGGCGTATCGGTGCTGCCACCTGTCTCAGAACGATTGGACACAGCCCGATCGCCGCTTTATAAAACCAACCTCCGGCTTGGTTGGCTGGCGCAATTAATTCTTCGCGCCCGACCCTAGGGACTCAACGGCTCGCCGACCGAGCCGCCATCAGTATGACAATCATCGCTCTCAGCTCCATGGCCCACGCACCGCTGGCAAGAGACACGTGTCGCTTTACAGCTGTGGCTAAGACTCGAGGGTCAACGCCAGTCCATTGATTGCAAAAACCACAGTTGACTTCAATCTCATGTCTCTTTCCTTGTGCTTTGTAGTTTGAGAAAAGTAATAATAATAATGATAATGATAGCGGATTAAATTATAATTTAATATATCGTATAAAATATTGAATTACCAATTTTGTTAATTTTAGTAATTCAAATAGTTGGTTTTGCAACGTTTTGATAAATAATAATTATTTATTTGATATGAAAACAATTAATTTTACAATTGTTATATTTTTTTTAAAAAAAAAAATTCATATCGAGCATTTCCAAAAGTATCCTTTTCAACTTAAAAGGATATTCCAAATCTAAAAAAAAAAACAACTAAATTAGAGGTTTCGATAAGTCAAGTCTTTAAATCATCTTAAATTTCTAATTGAATCCCAAAGTATTGATTAATATCACGCTGAGATTTATATGTGTAATAAAATATATATATAAAGGTATTACATCATTTTAAGAAGACTAATAAGGCCCAAATGGATTGTATTATTGTAATGATTTCATCTTGAAAATCATTGTTTGGTTAAAATATTTTACTTTGTTTTCTTCTTTAGTTCAATGTATGGTATCATTATAAATTTAAATTTCACATGTCTTTAGAAAAAAAAAAAAAAAATATAAAAAATTGCACTTTCATCCTTCTAAGGACATAACTTAGAAGTCAAAAGTTTAAATCTAATCTTATCTAATAAAGATAACAACTTTTGCATTTTGTCAATATTTTAAGCCAATATCAATGAATTAATATTATATTACGCCGATCAAAAGTTACATTACAGAGGCAAAAACTTTCACCGACATTTTATATATTCCAATTCGATCCTTTTGTATTAATTTGAATATGGATTTTTCATAATTTATAATTGAGGGAAATGTTGCAGTCTCGTACGGAACCATTTTGTCGAGATTTGTAACCGTTAGATCATTATGTAATAGTCGTGGATAGTTGATCTACGATTACAAACCTCGATGGAATAGTTCGTCTCGGGACCGTATAATCTACTTGTAAAACGGAAACATGCTCCAAAAAGTTTATTATGAAAATTTCAACTACACTTTCCTTCCTCCAATTGAATGTAAATACGTAAAGATTAAGTCTAACCGATCGAATTCAACAATCAAAATGAGTGGGACACTCTCTTTTCTATTTCTCACACAAATTGGTTCTGAGTTTATAAATTGCATTTCAACCCTCTTAAATAAGATTATTTCAACAAAAAAAAAAAAAAATAACTATAAAAGAAATTGACACCCATATAGCATGTCATACTTCAATCCGAAAATTTGTGCACATATATATATATATATATATATTTTTCAAAAAATACATGCAAAAAATTAAATAAAATAAGTTGAGAAAGGAAAAATAGATTTTCTGCACGAATTAAATAAACCGAACTTACGCAAGAAAATTGAAACAATAACACATTAATAAATAAAATTTATCATAAACCCAGACTAGTGTAATTTTTAATGTTTAAACAACATTTAATGAGTATTTTTATGTGTATATGTTATCAATATATATATTTTTTTTTTCAATTCATGATTAATTTAATAAACATAAAATGTGAAATATATAGATAATAATAAAAACTAATAAAATTTGATATGTAGTAGATATTTTAAAATTGAGAATGTTGAATAAAATAATCAAGAGAATGTGTGTTGTAGCTTGAGTGGTTGATTTGGAATTTAATGTGAGTTGGCAATTGAGATTAACATACAGGAAAATGCTAAGGTCTCGATTAGTGATGTTAAATTAAATGAGCCTGATTCGGCTCGGCTCGAGCTCGACTCGTTAAGACTCGGTTCGGCTTAAGTTCGAAGCCTTAACGAGCCGAGCTCGAGTTCATTTAAAGCTCGTTTGGTTAACGAGCTGAGCTCGGCTCGACTCAATAAGGCTCGTTAAGGCTCGGAAAGTGAAATTTATGTAATTTATAGTTTGACTCGTTAAAACTCATGCGCTCTTTCTATGTGTGACAGTGTGTGTTTAGGCTTCACAGAGTGGGTTTTGAGTTAATACCGATCCAAAAGCTCCACCTTTTTGCATCGGGTGAGCTCCTCCAACACGGCAGAGAGAGTTCACCATTATCGTTTTCTCTGTGTGGGATTTTAGAGAGAGGAAATGGGGTGCAAAATGCAATTTTGTAAAATACCCGGAAAGAGAAGAAGCTTGTGATGTGTGGAAAAATAATAAGAAAAAAAGGGGCTTTGCGTCAAAGAAAAGATTTTTCTCATGAGTTTCTTTGACCCCATTCTATACTAGGTTCGTCTTTTTCTCATCTTTATGCTTTTTTTAATAAAAAATTGTAGTTTCGTGATATTATTATAGTTTTTTGTACCGTTCGAGGTTATATGCTTTTGTTTGAGTTCTGAAGGTTCTTGATTTGGTGTTTACTGATATAATTCAGTAGTATAAGGTATGGGTTTTGGGTTTTAATGGTGAATTTGATGATTAATGAGGTTAATTTT